CGGGGAACATAGGGATGACCCCTGCTAGAGCTAGCCGTTTGATCTGTCTTATTTCTCCTTTCACCTTATCCTACATTGCATGTTAACTTATGATTACAAAATGATCAACATTAGTATGCAAATACCTTTGTTGAATTTAATTGGATTTGAGTTTAATAAAGAAAAAAAACTTCTCTTCTGTTAGTTACTGTTTTCTTTTATGATCAAGGAGTGGATAAGCAGACAGCATTAGCTAGTGCAGCAAGCTACTGTAGTTGAAAAGTTGTCTACCTCCACTTTAACAAGTTAATATACAATTTTGTGTCTTGTGTGAACTATATGACAATTTATAAAGCATATATATTTTAAATGTCTATCATCTTATTCAGTTTGTTTGTTGCGTTATGAATACTAATAGTGTGGTATTTTTCCAGTCCAACCTAGAAACGTCCTTGCTCCTTCGACAAACAGCCAATGTGATTCTTCCATTGGATTTTGGATTATGACAGGAAATAAGCTCTGTTGGGAACAAAGGTTTATGATACTTGTTACTCATTTTGTTTAGCAAGATAATCTACACGAATTAACACCAGTTTTATGATTTTTGAAGCATAAATGTGATCGCCAGAAGTAAAAAGCTAATGTTAGGCTATAAACAAAAATAAGATTAGACCTTTATTGATCCGCAGAGGGAAAATTCAGTTGTTACATCAGAACAAAGAAATACAAAAAAATAGATAAAGTAAACTAAATAATAAGAGGTATATACAACTAAAGCAAAAACAGAGATAAAAAATACAAACTATGACAAAATTCCTGAGGTAAAGTGATCATCGACATATGTAAAGATGGACAACACGGCAGCTCTCCAAATGTGAAGCCAAAACATCTCAATCGCCCTTTGGTGGCTGAATGCAGTATAGGTCATAAAGCCAACTGCCTCCATGGTAGCAGATGGGAAAAACTAAAAAGTACATGTCCAGTCCATTTTTTTCAAAGATGGTTTCTGTAATTTTAGGTAGTCACATTAGTGTATGTTCAAGTGTTAATTTTTTGGATTTGATGCAATAAGAAGGGGGTTTCATGTCATGATTGACAGCTGAGTCGGTCTTGTGTAGGGGTGGGATCTCGATACTACAGGGCAAATCCCGGTCACTTTTGGTTCCGAATTACATCAGAAGTACAAGATATCAGTGGCTGTATCTGGGAGATTTTGGCCTCATTTTTGTACAGTGGGAGGAAGTGGAGTGAGATGTCCATGCTCTTTGTGCCGATGGGTGTGATCAACAGCCTGGGCACCCTGGTGGTCATAA